ACGGGGATGCTCTTGTAGACATGCGCACACTTGCCGAGATAGAAACACCGCCATGAATACATTTGGGTCTCCGCCGTCCCTCTCCGTCACAGCAATTTTGCTATGTACTATTGGTAAGTTTGTTTTTTTTCTGTGGTATTTTCAATTAGGTTGTTGTATTAATGTTTCTATGGTATTTAAATGAGATTATGAAATCCCGTTTTTCTTTTTCTCATAAGAAAGAGAGAAAGAGACTCTGACTCTTTCTGTCTGTCTGTCTGTCTGTCTGTCTGTCTGTCTGTCTGTCTCTCTGTCTCTCTCTCTCTCTCTCTCTTTCTCTCTCTCTCTCTCTCTCTCTCTCTCTCTCTCTCTCTCTCTCTCTCTCTCTCTCTCTCTCTCTCTCTCTCTCTCTCTCTCTCTCTCTCTCTCTCTCTCTCTCTCTCTCTCTCTCTCTCTCTCTCTCTCTCTCTCTCTCCTCTCTCTCTCTCTCTCTCTCTCTCTCTCTCTCTCTCTCTCTCTCTCTCTCTCTCTCTCTCTCTCTCTCTCTCTCTCTCTCCTCTCTCTCTCTCTCTCTCTCTCTCTCTCTCTCTCTCTCTCTCTCTCTCTCTCTCTCTCTCTCTCTCTCTCTCTCTCTCTCTCTCTCTCTCTCTCTCTCTCTCTCTCTCTCTCTCTCTCTCTCTCTCTCTCTCTCTCTCTCTCTCTCTCTCTCTCTCTCTCTCTCTCTCTCTCTCTCTCTCTCTCTCTCTCTCTCTCTCTCTCTCTCTCTCTCTCTCTCTTCTCTCTCTCTCTTCTCTCTCTCTCTCTCTCTCTCTCTCTCTCTCTCTCCTGCTACTCGCTCTCTCTCATCCTCTATCTCTCCTCATCTCTCTCTCCTCTCTCTCTCTCTCTCTCTCTCTCTCTCTCTCTCTCTCTCTCTTCTCTCTCTCTCTCTCTTTCACCAACCTGTCAATGATCAAATGAATTATCTTCACCAACTTGTCGACCTGTTATCAGTCAACACAAAACCTGTCAAATGTTGCTTAGCCATTAGTAAAAAAAAAAAGAAAAAAAAAAAAAAAAAAAAAGTATTCAAATTTTCTTTTTTGAATATACACTTATACGCCTTTTTAACCCTTTTGTCTCTCTCTTTCTTCTCCTTTCTTCTCTCTCTCCTCCTCCCCCTTCCATCTCCTCACCTACGCCCATAACAACCTCCTACACTCGTTTCCTGTTACAATGTCAGTAAAAGAATATACTAACAAAAGAAAAAAAAAATCTTGAAAATAAATAAAATTCTGGTCGTATATCTAATGTCACTTAGAATACCACAATGAGCTTTCTATTAACTAAGGCTGTTCCATGAAGAGAGAGAATGGAATTTTACAAGTGAACGCCCACTCAAGCAGAGGGTTTAAATGCGTCTAACTTGTCAATTTTATTAAGGAGGATAAATGTCGTTTTCTGAAGTTAACTTGGTCGGAGGTGAAAATGGCGTGGGGTGTTCAAAGACCCATAGCAGTTAAGTCCGTGGTTCTTCTGTTCCATTCTCTGTGTGTGTGTTCTATTTTCTGTGTGTTTGTGTGTGTTACATTTTCTGTGTGTGTCTGTGGTCGTGGGTGTTCTGTTTCTGTGAGGCCTTTGGTGTCTATATACGGCTCTGTCTGTCTGTTTTTTTTTTCTGTCTCTGTGTCTGTCTTTGTCTCTGTTTCTGTTTTCGTCTGTCTCTATCTGTTTCTATTTCTGTCTGTTTCTGTCTCTGTCTCCCCCTTCCTCCCTTTCTCTATGTCCTCTTCCCGAATTTATCCGCAGGTTTGTCTTGTACACTCTCCCTCCTTCTATCACTCTCCCTTCCCTTATACCTTTCCCCTCTTTCCCTCTCTCTTCCTCTCTCTCGCTACCCTATATCACCAACAATAAAGACAAAAACCATTTAAAAAGTTCGACCTGTGCACTGTCCCTCCGTCTCTCCCTCCCCTTCCCTCCTCTCCTCCCCTTCTCTCTCCTCCCTCTCTTCCTTCCCTCCATCCTCACCAACAATAAAGACTATTAAAAATTAAAAACTATTAAAATTAAAAACAAAAAAGAAAAAAAAAACACCCAAATCTATCCACTGGTTTAACTCGTGTTCTGTCCCTCCTTCTCTCCCTCCCCTTCCTCCCCCCCCCTCCCTCTTATCCTCACCAAACTAAAAACTACTTAAAAAAAAACACCCAAATCTATCCACAGGCTTAACTCATCCTCTATCCCTCCTTCTCTCCCTCCCTCCCCCCCTTCTATCCTCAACAAAATAAAAACTTCTAAAAAAAAAACACCCAAATCTAGCTACAGGCTTAACTCTGTCCCTTCTTCTCTCCCTCCCCTTCCCTTTACCCTCCTCCCTCCCCCCTTCTATCCCCACCAAACTAAAAACTCCTAAAAAACCACCCCAATTCTATCCACAGGTTTGTCTTGCTCCCTGAGAATAGATGACGTGTCCATCCCGGAATACAAAGTACGTGGTTCCTCAGCACGTCTAACTTGCAACTATTCTCTGGGGGACTTC